CGCCGCGCGCCCCCGGCGGGCCGGGCTGAGGCGCTCACTCACCTGAGGCGCGGGCATCCGCCGTCAGTGCAGCTGCGGCGGCGGCGGCGGCAGCGGCGAGAGGGGCGGGGGAGGCGCTGCGGCCGCGCAGGCGCGCTGAGGAGGCCGGGCGCCGCGCATGCGTGATGCACCTGCCCGCTCGGGAACTACCGGGAAAATGGCGGCCGCGCCGGGAGGGGCCGACGGCGCCATCTTGAGTGTAGTTTTTCTTGCTGCGGACTTTCCTCGGAGAATGTGAGGTTTAAGAGCTATGGGGAAGGAGGGGCGTTGAGTGCAGCGCCTTGTGAAGCTCCTCGGAACGCTTGCGGTGCATCCTTTTGACCAGACCTACAGAGCCACACCCAAGGTCACACGGAGCCTGACACAGTGCTTGGCACGTGGAAGGGACTTAGTAAGTTTTGGTGAATGAACACAGTAATTTAAAAATTAGAATCCGGGCCGGGTGCGGTGGCTCACGCCTAAAATCCCAGCACTTTGGGAGGCTGAGGTGAGAGAATTGCCTGAGTCCATGGGCTCGAGACCAGCCTGGGCAAATTGGCGGGACCGTGTCTCTACAATAAATCAAAATTAGCTGGGCATGGCGGCGCGTGCCTGTAGTTCCTGCTACTTGGGCGGCTGAGGCGGAAGGATCACCGAAGCCCAGCAGGTCAATGCTGGGATGGCCGTGAGCATGCCACTGCACTCCAGCCTGGGCGACAGGGTGAGACAACGACTCAAAACAAAACAAGAAATCAAAAAATAAAAATTAGCCGGGCTCGGTGGCTCAGCCTGTAATCCCGCGCCTTTGGGAGGCTGAGATGAGTGGATTGCCTGAGCCCGCGGGTTCGAGACCCGCCCAGGCAACTTGGTGAGACCTCATCTCTACAATAAATCAAAATGAGCCGGGCGTGGTAGCGCGCGCCTGTAGTTCCAGCTACTTGGAAGGCTGAGGAGGAAGGATCGCTGGAGGCCCAGCGGGTCGAGGCTGCCGTGGCCAGAAGCGGCCACTGCACTCCAGTCTGGGCGACTGAGTGAGACTCCAACTCAATAAATAAATAAATAAATAAATAAAAATAAAAATTAGACCCTGAGCTGGGTGCGGTGGCTCACACCTGTAATCCCAGCACTTTGGGAGGCAAAGATGAAAGGACTGCCTGAGCCCAGGAGTTCGGATCTGCCTGGACAACATAGTAAGACGTCATCTCTACCAAAAAAAAATAAAAAAATTAGCCGGGAGTGGTGGTGCAGGCCTGTGGTCCCAGTTACTCGGATGACTGAGGCGGAAGGATCGCCTAAGCCCAGAAGTTTGAGGTGTGGTGAGCATGATAGTGCCAGTGCTCTTCACCCTGGGCGACAGAACAAGACCCTGTCTCCCTCGCCCTCCAAAAAACAACAAAAAAACCACATGCTAGAATCTGAAACTCTGGACTCCTAATTCCCAGTCCTCCATTTTATCACCTCTCTTGTAACTGCCTGCCCCACCACCTACTCCTTGAATGCAACATGATAGAATTTTTTTTCCAGAATGATTGCACATATTAACCCTAATGACCCAACAATTTGAATAAAACTAGAATGTACAGGACATAAATCTCTTCCTCTAAAGAGTTTATTTATTGGTTAATCTATTATTTCTCTAGTATTAAGTATCATTAAAAGTAAAATATTAACTAAATGAGGGTAAATTAAACAAATTTTACCAAACATCTCAGAGGACAGTAATATTATTATTCATCAAGCACAATTTCTCAACCAAATCTGAGTAGAGGGAAAATGAGTATTAACTGACCACAGCCCTCCATCATATGATGCATGTTTGTTGACATCTACTGAATGCCAAGTAGGTTCTAGTTCACAGTTTACTACTTACTATCTGTATGTCTTCTGTTAGATTATTAAGCTTCCCATACCTGCATTCTCATCTATAATGACAAAGAAGTTACAAGCTTGTGGTCAAAACTGAGCAAGAAAATGCTTAAAGCTCTTTAAGTATTATTTTTGTTTTATCTTGTTTAGCTATTGACACAAAACACATTTCTTGAGTTTAAACAAATCCTTATATACAAAAAAATGCAATACAATGTAACAAATAATGGGAGGTGTAATCACACATAGACAAGTGATCTATCCTTATTTCACAGAATTGAGGATAACAGATGAAAATTCACTACAAACTCTCTCCATTACACTACTCTGCTTCTGAGAGAAGGCAATTAACATTATTCCTCTAATTCTTTTTTGTGTGTGTGTTGGTGTCTTACTCTGTCACCCATGCCGGAGTGCAGTGGCACACTCACAAACACCACAGCCTCGACCTGCTGAGCTCAGGTGATCCTTCAGCCTCAGCCTTCCAAGTAGCTGGAACCATAGGCACGTGCAACCATACCCGGCTAATCTTTTATTTATTGTAGACAAGGGAGGTCTTGCCAAGTTGCCTGGGCCAGTCTTGAACCCACAGGCTCAGGCAATCCACTTGCCTTGTCCTCCCAAAAGTGCTGGGATTACAGGCTGAGCCACCAAGCCCGACCTGATTTTTTTTTTCTTTGAGTTGGTCTCACTCTGTTGCCCAGGTTAGAATGTAGTTATACACTCACAGCCACTGCAGCCTCGACCCGGTGAGCTCAGGCAATCCTTCCACCTAAGCCTTCCAAGTAGCTGGAAATACAGGTGTGTGCCACCACGCCCAGTTAATTTTTCTTGATTTATTGTAGAGATGAGGTCTCATCAAGTTGCCAAGGTTGGTCTCAAACCCCTGGGCTCAGGCAATCCTCTCGCCTGCCTCTGCATTCCAAAATGCTGGCATTATAGGCATGAGCCACTGTGCCCGGCCTTCCCCCCCCCTTTTTAAAGAGACAGTGTCTTGCTCTGTTACCCAGGCTGGAGTCCAGTGGTGAGTTAATAGCTCACTACAGCTTTAAACTCTGGGCTCAAGAAATCCACTGCAGCCTCCCAAAGTGCTGGAATTACAGACATGAGCCACTGTACCTGACATTCTTAAAGCCTTCGAATGAGTTTTAATTATCTTTGTCTTAGGTCACTCTTCTACTGCTGCCCAGCACTCCTGCCTTGTTTTTTTTTTTAGCGTCCCAGAATGGTCCACTCTCCCTCCCCTCAAACCTTTTTAAATAGCTTCTTCTTTTGCCTGAAATACTTGCCCCATTTAATTCCTTCATCCTTCCCAAGTCAGCTAAAATATCACTTCTGTAGAGAAGTTTTCTCTTTCTTTTCCTTATCTGCAGAAGACTGGCAGCATCATGAGGGGAGAGCCCATGTGTTTTTGCTCCTTGTTCTCTCCAGTTCCTAGAACTGTGCCCGGCAGAAAGTAAGGACTCAGTAAATGTATAAAGGATTAAAGACTGAATGTAGGTCAAAGTAAGGCGATATCACCTTTAATTAACTGGCACCTGGGCTAAGACTTAAGATTATGCCTGGGCGTTTAGCTGAAATGGGTTTTGACCCTTTAGTGGGATCAGAGGATAAGAAACATTAACAACAAATGAGCTGGTGTTTTCTTGGTAATTAATGCTGAAACTTGTCTCTGTACTACTGTTCACTTCAGCATCTGGGCAATTAATCCCATTTTCTGCAAAACCTCCGTCTTTTTTCCTTTTTTTTTTTTTTTTTTTTTTTTTTTTAGTTGGAGTCTCACTCTGTCAACCAGGCTGGAGTGCAGTGGCACGCTCACAGCCATCGCAGCCTCAACCTGTTGGGCTCAGGTAATCCTTCCCCCTCAGCCTTCCAAGTAGCTGGAACTACAGGCACACGCTACCATGTTCAGCTTATTTTTTGATTTTTTGTAGAGATGTGGTCTCGTCAAGTTACCCAGGTTGGTCTCGAACCCCTGAGCTCAGGGAATTCTCTCACCTCAGCCTCCCAAAGTGCTGGGATTATAGGCTTGAGCCACCACGCCCCCATGAACCATATTTGAAAGAACGAGCCACTGGTTCTGAGGTCACTTCAAAAAAGAAGCTTCAAGCATTTTGCATATTTCTGGAAAAAGTGTATATACAATGTTCTTTTGGATGCATACATTCCATCACTTTTAGAAATAAGCCAAAGTAGCCGGGCTCGGTGGCTCAGCCTGTAATCCCGCGCCTTTGGGAGGCTGAGGTGAGTGGATTGCCTGAGCCTGCAGGTTCAAGACCCACCTGAGCAAATTGGCGAGTCCTCATCTCTACAATAAATAAAAAAATTAGCCGGGTGTGGTAGTGCACACCTGTATTTCCTGCTACTTGGAAGGCTGAGGCAGAAGGATCACCGGACCCCAGCAGGTCGAGGCTGCGGTGGCCGGGAGCGGCCACTGTACTCCAGTCTGGGTGAGAGTGAGACTCCAACTCAAAAAAAAAAAAAGAAATAAGCCAAAGTGCGTTCCAGTCAGCCAGTTATCCTCAGAGGTGACAGGGTAGAAGTCCCCATGTGTTGCCACTGCCGGGTGCTCTTCCTGTCCCTCTCCTTTCAAGTATCTTGTGCCAAAAATCTGCATACTGTCATTGATGAGGTCCAGACCCCTGTGTGGCAGGTGGCTTCTGGAGCTGAAGCTTAAGCAGTTTTCGAGCTGGTGAGGGGTCTAATTGTTGCATACTTCTCTTTCCTGCAGAGAAGGAGAGCCAAAATATAAATTTCAGTTGAATTCACACAACATTTCTTGAAAACTTAATGTATGGACACTGAGCCAGACATTGAAGGGCAGTACAAGGACAAATAGGAGAGTCTCTGTCCTCAGAAAGATGGCAGTCTGGTAAGAAAGTCAGCAAAACCACCAGGCACAATGGCTCACACCTATAATCCCAGCACTTTGGAAGGTTGAGGGGAGAGGACTGCCTAAGCCCACGGGTTCGAGGCCAGTGTGGGCAACTTGGTGAGACTTCATCTCTACAATAAATAAAAAAAATTAGCCTGTAGTTCCAGCTACTTGGAAGGCTGAGGTGGAAGGATCACCTGAGCCCAGTAGGTCAAGGCTGCGGTGGCCTTGGGCATGCCACTGCACTCCAGTCTGGGCAACAGAGTGAGACTCCAACAACCAAAAAAAAAAAAAGGAAAGAAAGAAAGCAAGCCAGCAACCACTACAACTACAATGCAGTGTGATGAATAAGAAAACAAAAGGGTGTCTAGCAAGTAATTTAGGACTGTGAGATCAGGAAAAGCTGTGAAAGAGCCAAGTCAGTGTCACTTAGTGGGTTCTTGAAAAATGAAGAGGAAAAAGGCAATGGGTGGGTATTTCTTAAGCCTTGGATTTACCAAAACAGCACAGTTCATGGGTATTTACTTATCAGTCTATTGTGCTGCTGTGGAATTTACATCTAGAAATTTCTCATCGACTCTGAATGCCTACAACATACTACTTATTGCAGGGAGAAAAACAAATCACTTGGTAGCGGTCTTGCCCTGTGGGACCATGTGCTCTGAAGGGCAGTATCAGAGGTAAAACAGTCCAAGCTCTGGGCCCTCAAGAGATAAGCTTACCGAGCTGTACTGACACCTTCTGGAAACACTGGGTACTTTCATCCATAAAGGCCTGCAGCTGCTTCACAGAGCCTTGCAGCTCATCCATCTGTAGACAAAAGAACACTGTTGAGCTGGAAGGGTCCCTGGCTTCTGGAATGTTCCTCAAACCTGCTGGGCAAGTGCTCACTCAGGAGCTTCAGCATTGCTGTTCTCTCAGCCTGGAATGCATATGCCAGACATTCTGTTGCTCTCCAGAGTCACACTCACTCTCCTTCAGGCTACTCTGCGCTCCAGGAAGCTGATCCATATACCTCCACCAATGAGACATCATGTCCTCTGGCTGCTAGTAGGTGTGGTACGAGGAGGCCGAAGCCAGTGGGAGCTGAGCAAGGTCAGGCTTGCTCCCAGAGGGGGCATTCTGTGGCTCTCAAAGCAGCCAATTGTGTGACTTTCTCCCCCAGGTGCCACATAACTGCTCCCCTGTCCTCCTTTCAGGCCTAGGAGCAGTTACTGTGAGAACTCTGCACCTACCAGCCTCAGGTAACTTCACAACCCTTGAGGTTCCCCAGTACACATATCTGTATACACAGCACCTTAATAAACTCTTCTGCTGCGCATAGTGGCTCACGCCTATAACCCTAGCACTTTGGGAGGCAGAGGCAAGAGGACTGCCTGAGCTCAATGGTTCAAGATCAGCCTGAACAATATAGTGAGAATTTATCTCTACAATAAACAAAAAAATTTGCTGGGCGTGCTGGTATAAGCCTGTGGTTTCAGCTACTTGGAAGGCTGAGGTGGAAGGATCACCTGAGCTCAGCAGGTTGAGGCTGCAGTGGCTGTGAGCATGCTACCGCACTACAGCTGGGGTAACAGAGTGAAACTCTGACTCAAAATAAACAAACAACCTCTTCTTGCCAAGTGCGGTGGCTCATGCCTGTAATCCCAGTACTTCGGGAAATGGAGGCTAGAAGACTTGCCTGAGCCCAGGGGTTTGAGACCAGCCTGGGCAACATGGTAAGACCTTGTCTCTACAATAAATCAAAAAATTAGCCAGGCATGGTGATGTGTGCCTGTGGTTCCAGCTACTTGGAAGGCTGAGGCAGAAGGATTATCAGAGCCCCGCAGGTCGAGGCTGCAGTGGCTATGAGCATGCCACTGCACTCCAGCCTGGGCGACAGAGTGAGACTCTGGTTGATACAATCCTATTTCCCACTCATCCTCAGGTCTCTGTTCCGATGATACCTCAGAGGAGTCTTCAATAACTGCTACATAAAAGAGCAGCCCACCACCCTTCCTGTGCACTCACCCCCTTGCCCTGCCATGTCAGCACTCCCTATCAGCTATTTAACTGTTCAGTATTGTTATTATCCCTCCATATTTCCATGAGGTGGAGTCGAATACATGTATTACACATGTTCTCCAGGTATTTTAATTTCTTTCTTTTTTTTTTTTTTGAGTCGGAGTCTCACTCTATCACCCAGGCTGCACAATGGCATGCTCACAGCCACTGCAGCCTTGACCTGCTGGATTTAGGTGATCCTTCTGCCTCAACCTTCCAAGTAGCTGGAACTACAGGCATGCGCCACCACACCCAGCTAATTTTTTGATTTATTGTAGAGATGAGGTCTTGCCAATTTACCCAGGCTGGTCTCAAACCTGTGGGCTCAGGCAATCCTCTCACCTCGGCCTCCCAAAGTGCTGGGATTATAGGTGTGAGCCACTGCTCCTGGCCAGGTCCTTTAATTTCTCAGGATTATGAGATAGCAAAGCTGGATGGCTCAGCCAAATAAACATGAACCCACTCACCACCAACTCCATACAGCCAAAGACTTTGTCCTGATTCTGTAATATTTTCTGGTAGTCAGGCTTTGTATTAAGAACTTCACTCTGGGAGGACCCAAGATAAGTCACAGGTTCCACTTTGACTTCAGTAATTTTGGTTTCAGTTGATCCTCTAAAAATAAAACAAGGAATTTTATAATAATTTTCTGGGAAAGAAATGACAGATTACCTTAAAAAAAAGTCTCCTCTAAGGCTGAATCAAGGTTCTTTCACCTACTCCAGGTATTGGCTCTTTTATTAACAAGAGGTTCTGAAACAATTGTCCAGTATTCATGTTTTTATACCTCTGGACTCCATCAAATGCTAGAAGCTTCAATTCAGTTGACTCCAACTAACAAGAAGGTCTGTATATGGGAAGGACTACACTTGGGAGTGAAGCCAAAGCTTACTATCCTATAGTCAATGTCTATGATTTTTTTTTACCAAAAAGATGCTGGCCTTCCTCAATTTCCTAAAAGAACTCAATAGGACTGAGAGTTCATGAAAACTGATGATCACCCTTTAATAACAACTACTGCTACAATTTACGAGAGCTTAGTGGGTGCCAGACACATTCCATTTAACTTCATTTAACACTGACAACAACTCAATGAGGAAGGTACTTTTATTATTCCCCGCCCCCTTATTTTAAGTCCAAGTCTTACCATGTTGCCCTGGCTGGAGTGCCGTGGCACACTCATGGCCACGGCAGCCTTGACCTGCTGGGCTCAGGTGATCCTTCTACCTTAGCCTTCCAAGTTGCTGGAACCACAGGCATGCACCATTATGCCTGGTTAATTTTTTGATTTATTGTAGAGATGAGGTCTTGCCAAGTTGCCCAGTCTGGTCTTGAACCCCTGGATTCGGTCAGTCCTCTCGCCTCTGCCTCCCTAAGTGCTGGGATTACAGGTGTGAGTCATCACACTCGGCTATTATCCCTATTTTCTATGAGGAGCCTCAGGCTCACTCAGATTAAATGACTTGCCCAAGAGCACAAATATATATATTTTTTAGATAAGAAAATGTAGTTTATTTAAAAAGTAAATGAGAGAGAAAGAGGAGATCACTACCTCCCCAAGGTAGGGGAGGGGCCATAGCTCAAAAAGCACATGGCCCCACCAGAGCCTAGTAAGGCAATGGCCAGAGCACAAAATTAAGGAGTAGTTAGTTAGGATCTGAACAAAGACAGTCTGCTTCCAGATTTTTTTTTTTTTTTTTGAGTTTGAGTCTCACTCTGTTGCCCAGCCTGGAGGACAGTGGCACGCTCCCAGCGATTCTTCTGCCTCAGCCTTCCAAGTAGTTGGAACTACAGGTACACACTACCACGCCCAGCTAATTTTTTGATTTATTGTAGAGATGAAGTCTAGCCAAGTTCCCTAGGTGGGTCTTGAACCCGTGGGCTCAGGCAATTCACTCACCTCAGCCTCCCAAAGCATGGGATTACAGGCTGAACCACCAAGCCCAGCTTTTTTTTTTTTTGAGTTGGAGTCTCACTTTGTTGCCCAGGCAGGAGGGCAGTGGCAAGCTTCCAGCCACTGCAGCCTTGACCTGCTGGGCTCAGGTGATCCTTCCGTCTCAGTCTTCTAAGTAGCTGGAACTACAGGCACACGCCACCATGCCTGGCTAATTTTTTTTATTTATTGTAGAGATGAAGTCTTGCCAAGTTGTCTAGGCTGGTCTTGAAATCCTGGACTCAAGGCAATTCTTTCACCTCAAGTGTTGGGATTATAGGCATGAGCCCCAGCTCCTAGTCTAGAATTATTCTTCTTAACCTGTAAGCTTTGTCACAAAAGTTTTTATTCTGAAACTTTCATCTTGCACAGTATTTATCTTCACAAATAAAATATGTAAGGTGTGAATAAAGTAACTGATAACCATCATTGCCTGGATTACAGAAGCTTTTCAAATCATGTTCCTTTACTGATTGGCCACTTTTGCAATTAGAGTTTTGGTTAACAAAATGTTACTTTGGTTAACAAATAGTTGAGCTTCTAGCTAAGATTCTTTTTGAGGGGGAAAACAAAGTTTAAACCACAAGCTTAAATGTTCTACTGAATCAAAATCTAGCATTTTCCTACTTTCCTCTGCATTCAAGACTCAAAGATTCTTTCTTTCCCCACACCCTCCTCCATCACCACCCTTCATTTCTTTATGTCTCCACAAAGGCCCTGGCCAGGAATATCCCCCAAATCTGCAGTTCAAAGGCCACTGAAGCCCCAGCCCTGGGTACAAGGTGCCAAGTATAAGGCAAAGAGATGTGCCTGTCTCCCCCAGGATGTGAAACGGCAGCCAAGGACACAGAACAGAGGCTATTGTGTTCTTAGACTGAAAATAGTGGCACCAAGTCTCCCTTCCTTCTCCCTCACTTCCCATTTAAGAGCAGAGTGCTAACATATACCTCACAGAACAGGATGAGCTGACTGGCCCATGAGAAAAGAGTCCTTATTCAATTTATGATAACAAAACTGAAATAAATTCTAATCAAAATCCACAAGGAAAAAAACAGCTTATTTCCAGTTTACAGATCTAACCTGCATAATATCTCTTCAGCCTCCTTCTGGTAGTGCAGCAGGAGCTGATCCCAAGTCTGTCGTTCTAAAGAAAACCTAAAAAATCAGAAAAAAAATTCAGTTAATTTTTATCATCTCATTCTGAATCACTCAGAGTAACAATAAATATGTCAGGTATATAATCTGATTATCAAATGTGAGTTGAAAGGCCATTAAAGGATTAGAAAGCCTGACTGATTCAGAGGAAATTAATTTAATCAAATCAAACCCAAATTCTTAAAATAGAATTAACATCCTTATTCCCTAGACTTCACGCTATGAAACTGGCCATCAGTTGGGGCCCAGAAACATCTCAAAATACAGCCTTCTTACCTGTATCTTGTTGCACTAGTATTGATGCCTCAAATACAATGCTTACCATTCATTCTTCCCAGGTTTGGTTATTTTTCCAAGATAAAAGAATGAATTTAGATTTTTCAACATTTTCACTTACTTTTTAATGTATTCCTTCATCTCAGCCACAGATGTTTCCAGAGACAAATCTGCTGCTTTTCTGGAAAATAGGATTATGAGAATAACATGTATCTTTCAAGAAACACTTGCTTTAATATAATGCCTTACATAATTTTTTTTTTTTTTTTTTGAGTTGGAGTCTCACTCTGTCACCCAGACTGGAGTGCAGTGGCTGCTCCCAGCCACTGCAACCTTGACCTGCTGGGTTCTGGTGATCCTTCCGCCTCAGCCTTCCAAGTAGCTGGAACTACAGGTGCACGCTACCAGGCCCAGCTAATTTTTTAAAATTTATTGTAGAGATGAGGTCTTGCCAAGTTGCCCAGGCAGGTCTCGAACCCGCGGGCTCAGGCAATCCACTCACCTCAGCCACCTTACATAATTTTAATGGCAATAAAACATGATCATAATTATTTTTAAAATTCCACTTATTTGCTTTCCCCTAGCACCTTGATTTTGGACATAATTATTATCTTTTTTTTTTTGACTTGGAGTCTCACTCTGATGCCCAGCTTGGGTACAGTGGCATGATCACAGCTATTGTAGCCTCAACCTGCTATGCTGTGCTCAGGCGATCTTTCTGCCTCAGCCTCCCAAGTAGCTGGAACCATTAGTGTGCACCACAATACCCAGCTAATTTTTTTGATTTACTGTAGAGATGAGGTCTTGCTGAGTTGCCCAGGCTGGTCTCGAACCCCTGGACTCAGGCAATTCTCACTGGAGTGCAGTGGCCCGCTCACAGCCATTACAGCCTTGACCTGTGGGTTCAGGCGATCCTTCTATCTCAGCCTTCCAAGTGGCTGGAACTACAGGTGCATGCTATGCCCAGCTAATTTTTTGATTATTGTAGAGATGAGGTCTCGACAAATTGTGCGGGCTGGTCTTGAACCCATGAGCTAAGGCAATCCTCTTACCTTGGCCTCCCAAAGTGCTGGGATTATAGGTGTGAGCCACCATGCCCAGCCTGGTAGTAGCTTTCTTCATGGTCTCTTTATGTTCTATTTCTCTCTTTAACTCCAATTCACACCATGGTCAGATTAACCTTTCTTAAAATATACCTTAATTTTCTTTTTTCTCTTTGCCTAAAAACTGTTACCTGGCTGTGCACGGTGGCTCACACCTATAATCCCAGCACGTTGGGAGGCCTAAGTGAGAGGATTGCTTGAGCCCACAGGTCAAGACCAGTCTGGGAAACCTGGTGAGACCTCATCTCTACAATAAATCAAAAAATTAGGCCAGGCATGGTGGCTCAAGCCCATAATACCAGCACTTTGGGAGGCCAAAGTGAGAGGACCGCCTGAGCCCGTGGGTTCGAGACCAGCCTGGGCAACGTGGTGAGATCTCGTCTCTACAATAAATTAAAACATTAGCTGGGCATGGTAGTGCATGCCTGTAGTTCCAGCAATTTGGAAGGCTGAAGTGGAAGGATCACCTGAGCCCAGCAGGTCGAGGCTGTGGTGACTGTGAGCATGCCACTGCCCTCCAGCCTGGGTGACAGAGTGAGAATCCAACTCAAAAAAAAAAAAAATAGCTGGGCATGGTAGCACATGCCTGTAGTTCCAGCTAATTGGAAGGCTTAGGCAGAAGGATCACCTGAGCCCAGCAGGTCAAGGCCACTGTGGCTGTGAGCATGCCACTGCCCTCCAGCCTGGGTGACAAGAGTGAGACTCCAACTCAAAACAAAAAACAACTCTGTGACTCTACTACATATAAAAGAAAAGTCAAAACTCCTTAACCTGGCACTTAAGGCATTCTTTGTACTGATGCCACCGACCCACCCACTTTGATTCCTACTGTTGCCCAATGGCTCAGCTCAGTTGGATGCCTATTTCTAACGTAAAAGAAGCAGACACTAAAAATGCCAAAATGTTGCAGATATAATTGGTACTCTACCTGGCAAAGACACATTGGTTGTGCCATCATTCATGTTTTTCTCCCAAGGCCTGTGACACACAGCCTCTACCACCTCTGCCTAAGATGTGTAGCCTGTGCTCGCATATGCTGCATTGAGATGCTGTTAAGTGAAAGCACTTTTCTCTTCCTGACTGGCAATGTCAGTCCTGAGGATCTTTGCAAAAGCAGACTTTTGTTAAGTCCAAACTTAAAGTTAATGATGGAAATCAAGTGACATGACTTGTTGCAGGGTGGGGGCTAGAGGGTTGGGGATGTTAGGCTCACCCCTATAAAGGAACTACCAGTTTTGGAGGTAGCACTTTAATAAGTTTTTGCAATATTCTTGCTTACCAAGAGCCAAAGCACATGAGTTTCTATCATCCTGGGTGGTTGGCAAAGACCTGAAGAATGCTTTTCTGCTCCTCATTCTATGGCTGGTTCCTTCCCACAGTTCAGAGCCTGCAGGTCTTGGTCCATAGTCAGGTCATTAGAGGTCCTCTCCAAACACTCCAGCTAAGGTCATGCACCCTTCTCCAGTCATTATCACACATGTTGACCTTCTAGACTATCACTATCTGAATTCATTCATGTATTTACTTTGCCTGCTCCTGCTTCTGAGGCATGAAATCATTCTTTTCTTTATTTTTTGAGCTGGAGTCTCACTCTGTCGCCCAGACTGGAGTGCAGTGGCTGCTCCTAGCCACCGCAGCCTCGCTGCTGGGCTCCGGCGATCCTTCCGCCTCAGCCTTCCAAGTAGCTGGAATTACAGGCATGTGCTACCACGCCTGGCTGATTTTTTGATTTATTGTAGAGATGAGGTCTCGCTGCCCAGGTGGGTCTTGAACCCGCGGGCTCAGGCAATCCACTCACCTCAGCCTCCCAAAGGCACGGGATTACAGGCTGAGCCACCGAGCCTGGCTTCTTTTTTTTTGAGTTGGAGTCTCACTGTTGCCCAGGGTGAAGTGCAGCAGCATGTTCACGGCCACTGTAGCCTTGACTGCTGGGCTCACACAATCCCTCCACTTCAGCCTTCCAAGTAGCTGGAACTACAGGCATGGGCCACCACGCCCAGGTAATTTTTTGATTTATTGTAGAGATGAGGTCTCACCAAGCTGCCCAGGCTGTTCTTAAACCCATGGGCTCAAGTAATCCTCTCATCTCGGCATCCCAAAGTGCTAGGATTATAGGTGTGAGCCACTGTGCTCAGCCTGAAATCATTATTTTCTCGGTATTTTTTGGACTGACTCTATCATAATGTCTGACAAATGGGACCTTGCTTGGTTTATTTATCACTACATGCCCAGCATCTAAGAGATCCTGGTACATAAGAAGATGCTGAGCCAGGTTCGGTGGCTCAGCCTGTAATCCCACGCTTTGGGAGGCTGAGGTGAGTGGATTGCTTGAGCCCGTGGGTTCGAGACCTGCCTGGGCAACTTGGCGAGACCTTGTCTCTACAATAAATCAAAAAATTAGCCAGGCATGGTAGCATGCGCCTGAAGTTCCAGCTACTTGGAAGGCTGAGGCGGAAGAATTGCCAGAGCCTAGCAGGTCGAGGCTGCGATGGCCAGGAGCGTGCCGCTGCACTCCTGTCTGGGCGACAGAGTGAGACTCCAACTCAAAAAAAAAAAAGATGCTGAAATAATGTTTGTTGAATGAATAGGCAACAGTCTAATTATAGCCCAATTGTAACTTAGGACAGAAGGGAAACTGCTCTTACCCACTTGAATCTTCAAAACATTTTTGTAGCGCTCCATCATTTTCCAGAGTGTCTGCAAAATGTTTCAATTCTTCAGAAAGAGAAGATGCTGAGAGAATAGATGTACTTGTTATAAAATAAAGAGGATATACATTTTCACAAAGGTCTGATGACAAAGATACGACATTTTTAAGGTGGTCGCTGGTTGTCTTAAGGATCCCCTGGTTATATTTTGGACCTAATACCCACTAAAAACAGTTTATAAGTATGTGGAAATATTTTATCTTTTTCTCTGGTATTTATAGACAAAATGGAAGACAACTCCTCATTATGACACTAATAACAAGTATTTTTACAAATGGGTAGTGAAGGCTGGGCACACCTATAATTCTAGTATTTGAGAGGCCAAGGTGGGAGAACTGTTTGAGCCTAGGAGTTCGAGAACAGCCTAGGCAACACAGTGAGATCTCTACAAAAAAAAAAAAAATTAGCTAGGCATGGTGGTACACACCTGTAGTCCCAGCTACTTAGGAGGATGAAACGAAAGGATTGCCTGAATGCTGGGTGCGGTGGCTCCCTGTACTCCTAGCACTTAGGGAGGCTGAGGTGAGAGGACTGCCTAAGCCCACAGGTTCAAGACCAGCCTGGGATACATGGTGAGACCTAATCTCTACAATAAACCAAAAAATTGCTGGGTGTGGTGACACACGCCTGTAGTTCCAGCTACCTATAAGGCAGCCATGGAAGGATCGCCTGAGCCCAGAAAGTTGAGGCTGCAATGGCCATGAGCGTGCCACTGCACTCCAGCCTGAGTTACAGGGTGAGACTCCGACTCAAAACAAAAACAAAAACAAAGAAAGGATAGCCTGAGCCCAGGAGGCTGAAGCAAGCTAAGATCATGCCATCGCACTCCAGTCTGGGTGACAGAGTGAGACTCCTACTCAAAACAAATAAATAAAAAAATAACTAGTGAAAAGGTAGTTTAAAAAGTATATCTGCACTGGTATTTCATTCTTTTTTTTTTTTGAGTTGGAGTCTCACTCTGTCACCCAGACTGGAGTGCAGTGGCATGCTCACAGCCACCACAGTCTTGACTTGCTGGGCTCAGGTGATCCTTCCAACTCAGCCTTCCAAGTAGCTGGAACCACAGGCACATGCCATCATGACCGGCTAATTTTGTGATTATTATAGAGATGAGATCTCGTCAAGCTGCTCAGGCTGGTCTCAAACCCCTGGGCTCAAGCAGTCCTCTCACCTTCGCTTCCCAAAGTGCTGGGATTACAGGCATGAGCCAGCATGCCTGGCACTAGAAGTGAAAATTTTACAGAAGTCAGGCAATAGGCAAGAGTGTAATGAGAAACAAGGGAGGCAAATTAAAATTTAGGGGCATAGCTAGGAGTGGTGGTGCACACCTGTAGTTCCAGCTATTCAGGAGGCTGAGACGGGAGGATCTCTTGAGCCCAATCCAGCCTTGGCAACACAGCAAAATCCTATCTCTTTAAAAAAAAAAAATTATAGGCCAGGTGTGGTGGCTCAAGCCTGTAATCCCAGCACTTTGGGAGGCCAAGGCAAGAGGATTACCTGAGCCCAGGGGTTCGAGACCAGTATGGGCAACTTGGTGAGATCTCATCTCTACAATAAATCAAGAAAAAATTAGCCGGGCATGGTGGTGCATGCCTGTACTTCCAGCTAGTTGGAAGGCTGAGGTGGAAGGATTGCCTGAGCCTAGCAGATGGAGACTGCAGTGGCTGCGAATGTGCCACTGTACTCTAGTCTGGGCAAAAGAGTGAGACTCTGACTCAAAAATTAAAAAAAGAACATTTTTAACTTACATCACAGAAAAAGTTAATTTCTTTACTACATAAAGATTTTCTGGCCAGGCTCAGTGGCTCAGCCTGTAATCCCAACACTTTGGGAGGCCAAGGCAAGTGGATTGCCTGAGTCCATGGGTTTGAGACCCACCCAGGCAACTTGGCGAGACCTTGCCTCTACAATAACTCAAAAATTAGCCAGGCATGGTAGTGCACACCTGTAGTTTCGCCTGCTTGGAAGGCTGAGGCAGAAGGATAGCCGGAGCCCAGCAAGTCAAGGCTGCGGTGGCCGGGAGCGTGCCACTGCACTCCAGTTTGGGGGACAGAGTGAGACTCCAACTCAAAAAAAAAAAAAAAAGATTTTCTACAAATCAATATAAAAGAGCCGATATCCCAATTTTTTAAATGAACAAGGATATGAACAGACAATACACAGAAAATAAAGTACAAATGGCTCTAAAAATATGAAAAGCTGTTCATCTTCAAAAGAAAAAGGTATGCACAAATTAAACCTATAAAGTGACAACTTATCCAACAGAAGAAAATCTAAGTGTTTTGCTGTTGACTGTGTGAGAAAACAGGTGTTTGCATATATTGTTGGTGAGAAAATAAATTGATATAACCTCTCCGGAAGTCAGTCTAGTCATTCCTCTCAATTCATTTGAACTAGTTGATTCTAAGTCTAGGAATTCATCTTATTTTTACTTGCCTATGTGCCAAAAGTTTTGTGTAAAAAAAAAAAAAAAAAATTAATTCCTTACACTATTCATCGTAACAGCAAAAGACTGAAAAAAGACCTAAAAGCCTATCCTCAAATAAATAGCTAAATCATATACAAGGGAGGGGGAAACCCCAAAAAAATCAGAATTATGTCTTGGAGGGAGAGCCTCTTATAGTGCACTCAGAATTTGTTGCTCAAGATTAAATGGTCACCCAAAGTTTTTATCTCGAAGTTTTCAGATGGTTTCATCACGATTTGCGGAAGAAACGTCTTGAGTTGTTGCAAACAGATAAATGGTTCTTCCACCATGACGACACACCTGCTCACACTGTGCTGAGTGTTCGGTAGCTTTTGATCAAAATGATCCCTATGCCCCTACCCTCTCTTTTTATCGATCTCAACCCAGCAACATTTTTTTTTTGTTTGCCCAGATAAAAAATAGTCCTCAAAGGGAAATATTTTGCTGATGTGGAAGAGATGAAACAAAAAATGGCAGAAGCGCTAAAAGGCATCAAAAATTGATGAGTTCAAAAACTGCTCTGAGCAGTGGAAAAAGCATTTCAATAAGTATATTGTATCAAATGGAGAGTACTTTGAAGGTGACTGAAGTTTAAACATGTAAATGCACAATTTTTTACAAATAAATTCCAGGTTCATTTGAGTCCCCTTCATACTGCTCATTTATATAATGGAATATTATGTGACTGCTGAAAGATGTCAAGGCAACTCTATATACATGATATGGAACAACCTGCCAAATAAATTGTTAGGTTAAAAAAAGACAAGAAGGCCAGCAGTGGTGGCTCATGCCTGAAATTCCAGCACTTTGGGAGGCGGAGGCGAGAGGATTGCCTGAGTCCAGGGGTTTAAGACCATCCTGGGCAACCTGGCGAAATCTCGTCTCTACAAAAAAAAAAAAAAATTTGCCAGACGTGGTGGTACATCCCTGTGGTTCCAGCTACTTGGAAGGCTGAGGTGGAAGAATCACCTGAGTCCAGCAGGTCAAGGCTATGGCTGTAACCGTGAGTGTGCCACTATACACTCCAGCCTGGGTGACAGTGAGATTCCTTCTCAAAAAAAAGAAAAAAAAAAAAGACAAGGTGTAGAACAGTAAACAGGTGGGTAGATAGGTGGGGAAACACAACATCGATAAGGGTATCTGATCTCAAACCAGGCAAAGTGGGGACCAAAGAGAGGTCCAAACTTTACCTGTGTGATGACCACTTATATACCTAATGCTGAATTGTACCCCACATGTTTAAAATTAAAAAAATATTGCCAGGCATGGTGGTGCATGCCTGTAGTTCCAGTTACTTGGAAGGCTGAGGCAGAAGGATCACCTGAGCCCAGCAGGTCTAGGCTGTGGTGGCTGCACTCCAGCCTAGGGGACAGAGTGAGACTCCAATCAAAAAATAATAATAATAAAGAACAGTACACAGACTATATATGCATAAGATTCCAGTGAATATTTAGAAAAGCAATAAATATCTCTGGAAGGACATATTCTTAAAATTTAAGAAAAAAGAGGAGAGCTGGTTATGAGGCAGCAGCTTCTATAAATGGGGGCCCTGCAAGTGAGACCCTGGCCACCAAGGGTCAAAGGTCAAAGCTCACTCATCTATTCTTAGTAACTTACCTCTAGCTCTAAAACTCTCAAGACTGAAGCCCTTAGTGTCCCTTAGGAAAGGTTCCAGTTTCTGAATAGAGAACTAAATGGAGAAAAGCATTTTCAGTACTACAACCAAACTTTTCCAGGTTAGTCTTAAGTTTATGTAACTGTATAATATTCAATAAATGTGAAACTAAGCCAGGCACAGTGGCTCATGCGTGTAATACCAACAATCTGGGAGGCGGCAGCGAGAGGATTGCTTGAGCCCAGGGGTTCGAGAACAGCCTGGGAAACTTGGCAAGACATCGTCAAGAAAAATTAGCTGGGCGTGGTGGCGCACATCTGTGGTTCCAGTTACTTGGAAGGCAGAAGCGAAGGGTCGCCGGAGTCCAGCAGGTAGAGGCTGCAGTGGCCATGAGCATACCACTGTACTCCAACCTGGGTGACTGAGTGAATAGCTGGAACTATAGACACACGCCACCAGGTCTGTAGTTTTTGTGATTTATTGTAGAGATGAGGTCTCACTAAGTTGCCCAGGCTGGTCTTGAACTCCTGGGCTCAGGCAATCCTCTTGCCTTGGCCTCCCAAAGTGCTGGATTATGGGTTGACCCACCGCGCCCGGCCCAAAGTGGTTGCTTAACACAAATTACTTGCTTATCTAAAGTGACATAAGTACCGGTTATATTTTTACCTCTAACCATTTGAAATTCCCATCATTTGGGCGAGTGTGGGGCTTATACCTGTAATCCCAGAATTTTAGGAAGTTGAGGTGAAGGACTGTCTGAGTCCAGGGGTTCAAGACCAGCCTGGGCAACATGGAGACACCTCATCTCCACAATAAATCAAAAAGTTAGCTGGGTGCAGTGGCGTGCACTTGTAGTCCTAGCTACAAGGAGGGCTGAGGCGAAAGGATCACCTGAGCCCAGCAGGTCAAGGCTGCATAGCCATAATTGTGCCACAGCACCCAGCCTGGGCAACAGAATGAGACTCCGACTCAAGAAAACAATTTTTTTTAATAAAATAAAGAAAAATCCCCATCATTTGCTGTCCATGGGCAAGAGAGATATTCTATAGGGGAAGTCTCTGTTAGCTGCTTGGTTAGCAGCAGCAGCACCAATGAAATTGGTAAGAGCCCAAGCCAGAGAAAAATCAGCTGCGGGATTAAATTTGACTTTTAAATTAATCCCACCCAGAAGGAAACATCTTTTTCTTAATAGGTTCATCACACAGTATTGGATATCTCTTTGAGGTTGACATAATAACAATCCAAAAGTCTCACCTGAAAGCTGGAAAGGAGGAGGGAGACGAGCCGCTTGCTTTCTGTTAAATTGACACTGATGGACTTGCTGAGCTCTAACATAAAATATTACAACATTTAAGGAACTGGACTTTTACATGGTTAGCAAAGTAATAAAACTGAAAAATTTCCTCCCTCTTGGTGCAATTCAACTAAAGCAAGAAGCAGCCTTCGCTGATAAAGAGAGAATTCTAATTTTTCTAGGATCACTGAAGAATGAAGTTTATTTGTGTAAGTAAACTTAAAAAAAAAGTGGCCAGGCACGGTGGCTCACGCCTATAATATCAGCACTTTGGAAGGCCAAGTCAGGAAAATTGCTTGAGCCTAGGAATTTGAGAGTAGTCTAAGCAACATAGAGAGATCTAGTCTGCAAAAATTTTAAAAATTAGCAGAGTGTGGTGATGTGTGCCTATAGTCCCAGCTACTCAGGAGGCTAAGATGGAAAATTCTCCTGAGCCCAAAAGGTCAAGACTGTGGTAAGCTGTGATTGTGCCACTGTACTCTAGCCTGGGCAACACAGTGAGACTAGGACTCAAAAAAAAAGTTGTAAGAATCTTTTTATGTATTACCTTAAAATCTTATTTTGTTAAATAAGGTAGATAGATCATTTAGGCTGGGTACGGTGGCTCACACATATAATCCCAGCATTTTAGAAAGCTGAGGCAGGAGGATTGCTTGAGCCCAGGAGTTGGAGTGCAGTCTGGGCAATATAGTGAAACTTCGTCTCTTCAAAAAAATCGAAGCTGGGCTCGGTGGCTCAGCCTGTAATACTGCGCCTTGGGAGGCTGAGGTGAGTGGATTGCCTGAGCCCGCAGGTTCAAGACCTGCCTGGGCAACTTGGCAAGACCTCATCTCTACAATAAATCAAAAATCAGCCAGGCGTGGTAGCGCGCGCCTGTAATTCCGGCTACTTGGGAGGCTGAGGCGGAAGGATCGCCGGAGCCCAGCAGGTCGAGGCTGCGGTGGCCGGGAGCAGCCACTGCACTCCAGTCTGGGTGACAGAGTGAGACTCCAACTCAAACAAAACAAAACAAAACAAAAAATTGAAAAATTAGCCAGGGGTGGTGGCACACGCCTGTAGTCCCGTCTACTTTGGAGGCTGAGCTCAGGAGGTCAAGGCTGTGGTAGCCATGATCCTGCCACTGCATTCTAGCTTGGGCATCAGAGTGAGATACTGACTCAAAAGGAAAAAAAAGAAATATTTTAACTTTTTGATGATTCATATTTACCATTCAGAGAAAGGAAAGGGCACATTTGAGCATTCTGTGAGACAGGCACTGCAAGTGTTTCACATTGTCTTGGGAATCCTCTCATAAAGTCTCATGAGTCCTATTTCACAAATGAGAACTTTAAACTGAAGCTCAGAGGGGAAATGGCTAATTTGAGGCCAGAGACTAGTAGAGCCAGAATTCAAACCCAAGTCTGTCACCAAGATCTAGTGCTTTTCCCAAGAATATCACACTGCCTTTCTATAATGAGCTAATAATAACATCAATAGCTAAGACATGTTGAATACTTCTTATATAAAAGGTTTGGGTTTTTTTTTCGAGACAGGGTCTCACTATCAACTAGGCTGGAGTACAGTGGCTTGATCACAACTCACTGCAGCCTTGACCTCCTGGGCTCAAGCCATCACCCATAAAAGGTATTTTATTAAATGCTATACACACCTCATTAAACTTTGAGGTAAATATCTTACCAATTCCATTTTGATGACAGATGACACTGAAGCACAAAGGTCATATGGTAATAGGTAACTTGCCTAAGGTCACACAGTACATTATTAGACTGCTTTGGGTGGGCATTTTACATAATTATGCCACTGAATTCTCAAATGACTACAAGATGCAGATACTGGTTTTTCAATTCTGTCTATTTAAAAACAATTATTGCCGGGAGCCGTGGCTCAGGTCTGTAATCCCAGCACTTTGGGAGGCCAAGGTGAGTGGATTGCCTAAGCCCATGAGTTCGAGACCAGCCTGGGCAACTTGGCAAGAAGACCTCATCTCTAAAATAAATCAAAAAATTAGCTGGGTGTGGTCGCGCATGCCTGTAGTTCCAGCTACTTGGAAGGCAGAGGCGGAAGGAATACCTGAGCCCAGCAGGTCACACTAGGGTGGCCATGAGCATGTCACTGCACTCTAGCCTGAGTGTTGGAGTAAGACTCCAATTCAAAAAACAAAAACAAGCTGGGCTCGGTGGCTCAGCCTGTAATCCCGCACCTTTGGGAGGCTGAGGTGAGTGGATTGCCTGAGTCGGCGGGTTTGAGAACTGCCTGGGCAGGCGAGACCTCATCTCTACAATAAATCAAAAAATCAGCCAGGCATGGTAGCGCGCGCCTGTAGTTCCAGCTACTTGGAAGGCTGAGGTGGAAGGATCGCCGGAGCCCAGCAGGTCGAGGCTGCGGTGGCCGGGAGCGGGCACTGCACTCCAGTCTGGGCGACAGAGTGAAGACTCCAACTCAAACAAAACAAAAACAATTATTACACTGGGCGCTCTAGCTCATGCCTTAATGCCAGCACTTTGAGAGGTCAAGGCGAAAGGATTGCCTGAGCCCATGGGTTTGAGACCAGCCTGGGCAACATGGCAAGACCTTGTCTCCACTACAAATCAAAAAAATTAGCTGGGCGTGATGGTGCACACCTGTAGTTCCAGCAGATTGAGGCTGCGATAGCTGTAAGCATGCCACTACACTCCAGCCTGGATGACAGAGTGAGACTCCAACTGAAAATAAAATTAAAAAAATAAAATAAAATAAGCCAGGTACAGTGACTCACGCTTGCAATTCCAGCACTTTGGGAGGCCAAGGCGAGAGGATTACCTGAGCCCAGGGGCTCGAGACCAGCCTGGGCAACATGGTGAGACCTCATCTTTGTAATAAACTAAAAAAATTAGCCAGGTGTGGTGGCATGTGCCAGTAGTTCCAGCTACTTGGAAGGCTGAGGTGAAAGAATCACCTGAGCCCAGCAGGTCAAGGCTGTGGTGGCCGTGAGTATGCCACTGCACTCCAGCCTGTATGACAGAGTGAGACTACAACTTACAATAATAAAATAAAATAAATTAGAAACAATTATTACATAGCAAAGAAAGTTTGCTTTGGGAATTAAGAGAGCTACATGTCCTTCTGCCCTCAGCCTCCACCTGCTGGGCTCCGGCAATCCTTCCGCCTCAGCCTTCCAAGTAGCTGGAACTACAGGCACACACTACCACGCCTGGCTAATTTTTGATTTATTGTAGAGATGAGGTCTCGCCAAGTTGCCCAGGCGGGTCTCGAACCCGCGGGCTCAGGCAATTCACTCACCTCACCCTCCCAAAGGCACGGGATTACAGGCTGAGCCATCGAGCCTGGCTAGCGAACTGTTTTTTAAAGTTCTCTTGCCTTCTCTCTTGATTAAGTTTTGCTGTGGTTAGTCAAAAAAAACAGGCTACTTTCTGCTGTAGCAGGTGGCAATAACCAATCTTATTACATTGGTGATTTTCTGTTATATGGAATTTTAAGTCTAAACACGCTGGCAGAGAGCTTAATGTGGGAGGAATCTTGGGGAAGCACTCGTGTTCTCTCAGTACATCTAGGAATTAAAGTGCACAGCCTTGTGGTAGTATTCTTCTGATGTGATAAGTAGCTGTTTTTACCCAAATTTCCTTCTACACATCAGACCACCTGGAAGTGAGGTAATATCTTAAAAGTTATCACAATAGTTTAACATTTGGGGGCTTACTTTGTGCCAAGTATTGTTTTAAATATCAACTCATTTAATCCTCAAACAACCCTGTCACATAGGTACTATTTCATCCCCATTTTACTGATGACAGCCTTAAGGTAAAGGAAGTTAAGTAATCTGCTCAGGATCACGCAGCTTACTTGTTCTTCCTGAAATATGCTAGATTTTCTACATTAATCCTGTACTTTGATGCTTCCTGAGATATAGTTACTATTGTAAATTCACACAAAATGACACAAATCACGTTCAAAAGCGTCCCTGAAAACTAAGTTTTCACTCTAGATCTCTTTTTTTTTTTTTTTTTGAGTTGGATTCTCACTCTGTTGCCTAGGCTGGAGTGCAGTGGCATGCTCATGCCACCACAGCCTCGACTTGCTGGGCTTAAGTAATCCTTCCGCATCAGGCTTCCAAGTAGCTGGAACTACAGGTGTGCATCACCACGCCCAGCTAATTTTTTTTATTTATTGTAGAGACGAGGTCTCACCAAGTTTCCCAGGCTGGTCTCAAACCCATGGGATCAGGCAATCCTCTCGCCTCCGCAGCCCAAGGTGCTGGAATTACAGGCATGAGCCACTACGCCTGCTAGATCTCTTTACATGCATCTTCTCTCTGTGATATTTCCAGTGATAAAGGCTAAAGATACCAGCCCACCCACCTTTTGTTCCACTTGAGGGCACAAGGCAGAAAGCCACAGAAAGGAATCTTTAATGTCTCTCATCCTATCAGAGGTGCTGGACAATTAGAAACCAGAATTTCTGTTTGTGGCAGCTAACAATATAATCTTTTTTTTTTCCCCGCATCAGTGTTTCACTCTGTTGCCTAGGCTGGAGTATAGTGCACGCTCACGACCACCACAGCCTTAACTTGCTGGGCTCAGGCCATCCTTCCACCTCAGCCTTCCAAATAGCTGGAACCACAGGCGTGAGCCACCATGCCCAGCTAATAATATAATCTAAATGGCAGTAATACTGAACACTTCCTAGGTGTTTGACATCGGTCCTTATAAATGCAGAACATCTCCACAAGGTAGGTAATACGATCTCCATTTCATAGATAAGGAAACTGAAGCTCAAAGAGGCAAAGTGGTCTGCTCAAGTCACATCTATTTTGCTATACTTTCCACCATACCTCACTGCCTCTGTCTGAGCTGGAACTTGCCTGTCATGCACACAGCACCCCACCTGTGATGCCCTGGTGAACAGGAGGCAATGACTTCCGCCGCTTCGTTTCTTTCATGCTTGCTCTTCGCCAGGATTGTCTCCTATCTTGGTGACAAATGGGTTGTTCTCGAGGGGACTTCAACTGAAGTCCTTCCTGCTGGCTGAGATCACAACTTCCCCCTTTTTTTGGGCTCAAGTCAAAGTAAATTCTTTCCTTTGAAACACCTTGAATCATCTCCAGGGAGGCAGATGTTTTAGTAAACACTTTCGCAGGGCTGAGACTTGATTCTACTTGATGATCATGAGTCTTAGACGTCACTGGTTCTTCTAACATTTGTTACAAAAAAGTCAAAATACAAAATCAAACCCATCACAACTAAATATTTGTGTAAAAGGGTAGAAAAGAAAACATGTGCCCCAGATCATGGAAACATTGGGGAAGCATCTCTGCAAATACATGAATACGTGATTCCAAATCTACCAGGAGCCAGAGAGACTGGAGTATAGCTAAGAAGCCAGAACAGGACGTACTGAAGGTCACTAGAGTACTTACCTTCTGTGACCTCTGATCTAGTCACTGAAGTCATCCTGGCTAGGAAACTCTGAAAATAAGAAAATAAGGCGATCTGTTCTTCCCCTTTCAGTGCCAGCCTCAGTGGTAGTGGTGCTTCCCTACACAACAGGCCTTATGCTTTCCGGCTGCTCTGAACGGCCCTCACTCACCTCCCCCATAGAGAGTACCAGCAGGGGTCATCACCTTCTACCCTGAATTTCAACAGAACTTATTGCTAGAAATATTCGTACCGTCCTTAACACACACTGTACCTTATTTCCCAGTTATTTTGTGTTTAACTAGTCCCTAATTCTGTTGATGACATATGATCTACTGGTCTTCCAAACTGGAAAAACCATAGCATCCTTTCTTATAGTCAGCTCCCCAGACCCCAAGCTCTATCTGTTCTACCAACAGTCTCTAGAAGTTTTCTCAGCCCCACCGTTACTAGTTTAGTTCATGTCTTGTATTTTTGCTCCCCTCTCCCACTAAGTCTCTCACTAGTGTTCCCGTGTCCAGCTGCTCCTCTCCCACCCATTCCTTAGACAGATGCCGAGATGCTTCCAGTGTACTCAACCCTTTCCGAAGCTAGTCCCAGTCTACGCACTCCTGTGTCCTGCCACTCCTATTCCCTGCAAAGACTCCCTTTGCCCCTTCGTACACATCTTTCCTTCTACCTGTGGACTTATCCTTCCCAACCCAGCTCAGACATGAAGCTTTCGCACACCACTTCTCTTTGGCAGTTGGTGGCTACACTTCTCTGTCTCTTTAGCCCAGGCTGTATAATCTGTTTAAATCTCTGCTCTCCCCAGCTAGGCTGTATTTTCCTAGTGTCTGTAACGGACAACTGACTGGAGGTGGGCAGGGACAAGACCAAGGTATCTCTGGATCTTCCATGCCACCCCTGGCTCTCAGCAGAAATCTGTGGGTGCTTAGTAAAGAGAAATGAACACAGGCGGAAGGGCATGGAAAAGATAACAAGGAGGGGCTAGTCAAGGACCTAATCCCTACAGTCCTATGACCATCACACAGATCCAAGCTTGGGTAACAGACACAACTGCCTTTGTCAAGTGCTTCTTGTAGGCCAGAACCTGTACTATGTAAACACTTTACTTGCACCCTGAGCTCACGTGACCCTTTCCACGGCTCCTTAAGCATTATTCACTCCACCTTGCAGATAGGGAAACTGAGGCTCAGAGGAGTAAAAGGCCCGGCCCAAGCACGGCCAGCCCGGGGGCAGATGCGCCATGCGAACCCAGGCCTGTGACCCCATCCCCCTGCGCTGCCCTCAACTTTCTTCCGGAGTCCAGACCCCCGGCTGTGCAGACAGCCCCGAATGAGAGACTTGACCCGCCCTCGGGGGTCACTTCACCCAGGAGGAGGCCGCAGCGCCCCCGTGGGCCCAGAGTCCGCTGTCGGAGGCCGGGGAAGCGGTGGGTCGGGTTGGAGCAGGCGGGACCACATCAGGGGACAGATCTGAGACTTCCTGACCTCAAGCGACAGCCGTCCGGTCCGGAGCCTCCGTCCCTGAAACTCAAGGCCACGGATCAATCTCCACGCCCCCAGGCCCGGACTCCTTGCGACTCGGGACTCCTTAGACTCCTCGGACTCCTTGCACCTCTGCGTCCGAGCCTCCCAGGTCCGAGTCGGGCGCACGATTCGCGGTCTATTCTAGGGTCGCTTCGGAAACTCCCGCCAACCAAGGACGCATGCGCGGCCGTCGCCCTCTCGGGGCGCGCGCGCGGGCGGGGCCGCCCGCCTCCGACAATGCGCATGCGTACACCGGCATTCCGGGCTCTTGCCAGCCCCGCCCCTCTTGTCTAAGCCCTACCGGGCCCCGACCGCCACGTCTCCGGCTTCTCCCGCCGCACCCTACCCGGGGAGTCCCCGCCCGGGACCCGCCAAACTATCGTGTCCATTTGCGCCCGACGGGCCCCAGAGTCCATCTAAAATGGGGAGACAGAGGCCCAGAGAGATACTTGCCGATCGAATCCAGCCCATGAGAGGGCATCTCTTACCCGTCGCTGGGATCCTCTTAACTCCAAAATGGGGTCGTGACTCTCCCCGGAATCGACTGGAGCTGAGCTCCCTTTGCCTCAGCGCATCCCACTCCTGCTTTAGGATACTTTCTCCTTTGGTAGACCCTTCATTACATGGACAAGTTCAAGAATGCTCTGGCCTCATCACAGGTGCCCCTCAAGCCCCACAAACTGCTTGCTTTGCTGTTCCCTTGTTCCCTCTGCCTGGGAACCCCATTCCCTGCGTTTCCTAGCAAAATTCTCCGATTTTAAGCCTGACCTAAGAAATCATCTCTCTCAGAGCCCTCTCTGTGGCCCCAGGCTGAAACCCAGATATCTCTTCTGTGCTCCCAGGAGCTCAACCTGTGCCTGCCCCACTCTCCCACACTGGCCTGGGAGCACCCCGCTGGGCACCATCAGCATGCCCCTGGCTGTGCAGTCTACCTTTCGGACTGAACCCTCCCCATGTTGGGTTAAGAGCAGCCCACAAAGTCTGCAGGAGGGGTTGGGAAGAGGCAGCTGGAGCTCAATGTAGTCATCTTGCCATAGCAGTTGTGGTCCTTGGAAAAGTTTTCTGGGGGGAGGCAGAAATCCGCCTTCTGAAGTTTCCACTCTATGGTTCCAGCCCGCTGGCTCCAACTACCATCTGAAAGACGTTTGCTCTTGGTTCCCTGAATATCACTTTCTGGGGCTAAGGTACCCTACTCCCTCTATACTTGCCCTCCTCTTAAACTCATTTGTCAATGTCCCAAGAACAGGACACAGTGTTCCCAAGCAGGGATGGTCATCCTGGGGTACACTGAAAATACCACTTCATGGAATCCAGACCCAGTGCATCCCCTGTGTCCTTTCCCGGCTTTAAATTGTCCCATGGCTCCCTCAAATCCACAGGATGTATAAACTTTTTTCCCAATAAGGCATCGTGTGATCTGACCCAGCCCCTTCTTTCAGTTCCCCTGTTCTCTCTGCTCTGTTTTTACTAGGCTTTCACACGTGTATTCCCTCCCTGGAATCACTTCCCCTCAGTCTTATAGCACACCACCATCCCCTTTATCTGGTCAACATCTCATCCTTAGGTGACAGTTCAGATGTCCTTTCCTCCATGAAGCCTGAGTCCTCTGGGCTCTCTGAGCACCCTGGGCTCCTCCCTGCCATGACAGTTGATTCCCTTTCAGGCCCATCTATTGTATCCTCAATGCCTAGCACAGGCCTGGCTGTTATTAGCCTCTCATAAGAGATCTCTAAAAGTATCGTGTGGTATCCCGCTTCCAAGATGGCCCCCAACAATCCCTGCTTCCCGTTGCTGATGCCCTTGTGTAGTCCCTTCTCACAATGAAGGGGGCTGGTCTATATAACCAATAAGATATTGCAGAAATTATACTGTGTGACTTTCAAAGCTTAGCTGTAAAAGACATTGTGGGCTGGGTGCGATGGCTCATGCCTATAATTCCAGCATTTAGGGAGGCCAATGTGAGAGGACTGCCTGAGCCCAGGGGTTCAAGACCAGCCTGGGCAACTTGGTGACACCTCGTCTCTATAATAAATAATTTCCAGGCATGGTGGTGCACGCCTGTAGTTCCAGCTACTTGAAAGGCTGAGGTGGAAGGATTACCTGAGCCCAGAGGGTTGAAGATACAGTGGTCGTGAATGTGCCAATGTACCCCAGCCTGGGCGACAGAATGAGACTCCAACTAACAAAAACGAAAATAAATAAATAAAAGACATTGTGACTTCTGCTCTGCTCTCTCATAGATCACTTGCTCTGGGGGAAGCCACCATGTTGGGGATAATTACACCATAATTGATAATGAAAACACATCTACAATGCCTTTTTTTCCATAATAATTTTTTTTTTTTTTTTTTTGAGTCAGAGTCTCACTCTGTTGCCCAGACTGGAATACAGAGGCACACTCACTGCAGTTTTGACCTGCTGGGCTCAGGCAATCCTTCCACCTCAGCCTTCCAAGTAGCTGGAACTATAGGCGTGTGCCACCACACTCAGCTAATTTTTTAATTTATTGTAGAGACGAAGCCTCTCCATGTTGCCCAGGTTGGTCTTGAACCCACAGGCTTAGGCAATTTTCTTGCCTCTGCCTTCCAAAGTGCTGGGATTACAGGCATGAGCCATGGCGTCTGGCTCCAAGATAAATTTTTTTTTTTTTTTTAGATGGAGTCTCACTGTTGCCTGGGCTGAAGTGCAGTGGCACACTCATGGTCACCCCAGCATCGTCCTCGTGGGCTCCAGCAATCCTTCCACCTCAGCCTTCCAAGTAGCCGGAATTACAGGCATGCACTGCCATACCCAGCTAATTTTTGATTTATCATAGAGACGAAGTCTTACCAAGTTGCCCGGGCTGGTCTTGAACCCGCGGGCTCTGGCAATCCACTTGCCTCAGTCTCCCAAAGTGCTGGCATTACAGGCTGAGCCACTGAGCCTGGCCCATGATACATTTTTAAGGCTTTTATAGAAAAGTTCCATTTAGCCGGGCTCGATGGCTCAGCCTGTAATCCCACACCTTTGGGAGGCTGAGGTGAGCGGATTGCCTGAGCCCATGGGTTCGATAGCCGCCTGGGCAGAGAGACCTCATCTCTACAATAAATTAAAAAATCAGCCGGGCATGGTAGCACATGCCTGTAATTCCAACTACTTGGAAGGCTGAGGCGGAAG